TATATATAAATCTTGAAGGACCCCTCAAAGGGTATAGTCCCATCCAACTATCGGCCCTTCCCCTCGTCTCCGTGGAAGCCAATGTCCAGGATCGTAGCGGCTAAGATAAGCGGGCACATGGATCAATACATGAGCACAGGTCAGAAAGGAATTGGCAAAAATACCAGAGGTGCCAAACACCAACTCCTGGTAGAAAAAACAGTCGCTCAAGACTACAGAACGCAAAACACTAACCTAAGCACTGCCTGGATTGATTACAAGAAAGCTTATGACTCAATGCAACATACTTGGATCATTGAATGCTTGGAGCTATACAACATCAACAGGACTCTAAGAGCATTCATTGCAAACTAAATGAGGTTGTGGAAAACCACCCTTGAGGCCAATGGCAAGATACTTGCACAAGTCTCCATCAAATGTGGCATATACCAAGGAGATGCACTGTCCCCACTGCTGTTCTCATCAACAAGACTGGCTACGGATATAACTCAGGCATGGGGCCACCATCAGTTACCTCCTCTACATGGACGACAGCAAGCTGTATGCAAAGAATGGGCGAGACATCGACTTTCTGATCCATACCACCCAGATCTGCAGCACAGACATCGGGATGTCATTCGGACTAGAGAAGTATGGTCGGTTGGTAACTAAGAGAGGGAAGGTAGTCCACACAGTGGGGGTCTCACTCCCAGAAGGAACAATAGCAGACATTGAGGACAGCTACAAGTACCTTTGAATCCCACAAGTAAATGGCAACTTCGAAGAGGGAACAAGGAGAGCAGCTATAGCCAAATACCTCCAACGAGTAAGGCAGGTCCTAAGAAGCCAGCCCAATGGCAATCACAATTCCAGAGCAATACATAGCTGCGCTCTACCAGTAATCAGATACCCTGCAGAAATAATTAGCTGGCAAAAGTATGCGATACCACCCCAATTCCAACACCTTGAGACTATACACTAGCCGTAAGGAAGGAGGCCGAGGATTGTGAGAGCTGCTATCCAGGATGAAACATCCAATGTGCATAACTAAATTAAGGATAAGGCTCCAACAGATGATGTGCTCAGTGAATGTCTCAGACAATGGGGAACAGAAGATGAGGTGCCAGAGACTCCATCATGGGAGGATAAGCCACTACATGGGATGTACAACCAAAACATAATCAAAGAGGCAGATATTAGCAAATCCTACCAATGCCTAGACAAAGCCAGAAAGAAGGACACCACAGAGGCATTCATCATGGCTGCACAGGAGCAGGCCCTTTGCACCAGAACAATAGAGGCCCCAATCTACCACATCAGACAAGACCCCAGGTGCAGACTGTGCAAAGAGGCCCCTGATACCATCCAGCACATAACTGCATGATATAAGATGCTGGCAGGGAAAGCTTACATGGAGCGCCATAACCAAGTTGCTGGAATAGTATACAGGAACATCTGTGCAGAGTATGGGCTGGAAACCCCAAGGTCAAAGTGGGAAACACCTCCAAGGACGGTAAAGAATGACTAAGCCAAGATCTTGGGGGACTTCAAGATACAGAAGGACAATGGTAATGGCAAATCAACCAGACATTGGGGTGGTGAACAAAAAGCAGAAGAAAGCCATTGTGGTAGACATAGTAATACCAGGTGACTGCAACATCAGGAAAAAGAACAAGAAATACTACAGAAATACCAGGGGCTCAGAAAAGAGCTGAAGAAAACCTGGAATGTCGAGGCATCACTGGTGCCTGTGGTCATTGGGGCACTTCAACTGATCTGCTGTAACCAATCTTCAAGTTTGGGCAGTGACCCCCAAACTTGAAAAGTGGTTACAGCAGATCCCTGGAAATACATCAGACATCCCAGTCAAGAAGAGTGCAGTTCTAAGAACAGCAAAGACACTACACAGAACCCTCAATCTCCCAGGCCTCTGGTAGAGGACCCGAGCTTGGAGGAAAAAAGGGGGAAGACCACCCGCAATGGGTGAGGAAGAGTTTTGGATTCAGTCCTAGAAACACCCTTTTGTATCCTACGTCCAGTACAGACCTGCTGCTGCTTCTTTCATCCGCTCCGCCGCTCACTTCGGCTGCACTCTCCTCTGATCCATCTCCAACAAGTAGCCTCCGGACCTTAGCCTCGGCCTGCCGTCATTTCTCTTTGCTCTGTCTCCCTAGTGGGCTCCTTCGATGTAACCCTGTCCTCCTCATGGTAAGCTACAGCAACTCTTCCCTGCCTTCGGACCTCTCTCTGCCTAGTGGACTGATCTACTATTCTGATTCCATCCTCTATGGCTAGCCTCTAGTTAGTAAGGGCCAAATATAGCTTCTTCCAGCCTCTTCTTTCAGCTCTTTCAGAGCTAGCAAAAGCAAGAAGAGTTGCGGTGCCTCTTTAGCCACAGAGTGTGGCATAGCTGGCCACCTTGTTGCGCTCATGGCGCTTTCTCAGTCACTGTTCTCACAGTGATTCCCTTCTGCTCCTGCCTTAGCTCAGGTGCGCTGTCTCACCTTACCTCATTTGTCCAGTTGATCTGTTCCGTTGGCACTCTGACCAAAACAAACATGGGCCGAGGACAGGAGAAAGATGCAAGGTCGCTCAGAAAAACCAAAAAGCTACAAACAGGGATTCAAACTGGTCGTGATAGATTATTTTGTAAACAGTATTTGATTATTCTGTGCAGGATTATATATAGGCCTATAACTTGCCGCAGTCCAATTTGAGCGTAATGGCAATTTCTTTATTCACTAGTTTGTCAGCTCTGCCCTGCCGTAGCACAAAAGATGTATGTACAGCAGTAATTAGAAATAGCAGTTTCAAAGGCAAGGCAAACATCAAGATTGAGACTTTCAGTTCATAGGTGATAACATAGTCTGTCAACATACATATATATTATGTATACCATTAATGTCAGTAAATCACTGTAATTATTACACACAGTAGCTTTAATGAAATTATATATTATATATATATATATATATATATATATATATATATATATATATAGCTGTCTCGTCACAGTCATCATAATCTAATGGAGAACGCCTCTATTTAATGAAAAAGCATTACTGAACAATTTTGGGAAATAAACTGATCTCCCCCTGATTGCAATAAACGAGCGTCACCTTTCTCTCGTTCCCTGAACTGCGGAACAGCTTCGTAGCATGTTTAATATCCCCAAAGAGAGGTAGGAAAGGGGTTTATTTCCAGAAATGGCATTTGATTTACTAGGAACCACATTAAGCACAGCCAGTGATATAAAACTAGTTACTTACCTCCAGAGTTGCCTTCCATGCTGGTCGTAACTTTAGCTTCTGTCCGGAAGCATCAAAAACACAACATTCGTTAAAATGTATGCCGTGTTGTGTGCGCAGGTGTTTCTGCATGTTGGATGTATTTCCTCCTGTGGATGTAATTACCTCTTTGCAATGATTGCAAAGCGCCTTGTTGCCATCTTTCTCTTCTCTAAAATAAAGCCAAACCTTTGTTCGCTTTACCGGATGGGACACGATTTTTTTGTTTTGCTTTTCTAGACTCATGCTGCCAAGCGCTAGGTTCTGGTGCTGCCTGGAACCGTTAAGAGAATTGTTAAGCGAGCTGCCAAACGGCGCCATGGAATTTGTACACAACCTCTTTTTGATTTGAATCCCGATATTCAAATATATATATATATATATATATATATATATATATATATATATATATATATATATATATATATATATATATATATATGTATAACATTTGAAAACGAAATCGCAGCATTTGAAATGTTTATTTGGGCTGAATTGTTTTCCATTTCTCCAAGGGACATTTTTGCTTACCAAAAAAACAATCATTAAAGTTGCTAAGACAATGTTCCATTAATTTATTATTGAATACCAATGTATAACAAGGACAAGTAAGCGAGGTATAATTTTTACATGATAGATTCACCGTATTTAAAATACATTTTTGGCCTAAATTGCAGTGACCCCTCTAACATATAAACAATAAATTGGTTAATAAATGTTTAGTTGGTAACTGTTGAAATTAACATGAAGAAAAAAAGGTGATAATGATGCCAGTCCAACACATGGGGGTGGCAGTGTTTCTTTTATCTTATATTGTGCACACTTTTCTTTTGCTTTTTTTGTATTAACACAACACTGAGAAATAAAGCTTTAGAAACACTTTAGACCCATTCATATTTTGATTATTTGTAAGAGGCTGTTAAGAAGAAATAATCCACAAATGGCTGTCTGGAATGGTTTCTTCCACTATTCTGCAAGCCTCCCCTGAATGAGTCATCCAGCTGGCTCCTTATTGGATAAGACCATGCCATCCCAAGGGATTGCCTTGCAGAGGCAGAGAGGCCTTGCTTCCATTCACAGAAACACAGGCATGCCTGCCCGCTATTTCATTCACATAAAAGACAAAATATCGCATGGGCTTTTTTTAGCCCTTGGTTTTTTTTTTCCTTTCCTCTGTTTCCTCTTTGTGTGATTTACGAGGACCTCCCTATCATCTCTGCTCTTATGTTTGCCTTTGTTTCCAAGGAGAAAAGGCAGACGTGCTCTTTTTTTCTTCTCTCTTTCCAGGCAAGAGAGATATTGGGAAGGACTGCAGTGCGAAATCTGCAGTACATTGAGAGCGGAAGCTGGTTATGAATGAGTGCCAGTATTTCAGCTTTGGTAGATACTCCTGAGGACATTAAACACAGATGCATGCTTTCTACTGACTGGGGAAGAGAATGATGCCGCGCTGCTGGTCTTAAGGGCATTCTTGGACTTTTTGTTTTATCATTTTGGTGTGTTCGCCTGAGGAAAAATGTCTTTCTGTTTTATTGTTTTTGTTTGTTTGTTTATTGCAATTGTTTGATTCAGTCAGAACTGGTTGCTTGGCAGAGTCTTTCTCTGCTGTTTTGAAGTCAAACTGATTTTTTGTAAGTCTTTTTTTTCTGAAAATTTGTGCCACTTTCAAGTTGAAAGAATTCTTATTTTTTTATTTTGTTCATTTGGAATTTTTTTCATCTTCTGAGCTAAGTATCAGTATGTTAGAGACAGTAAATACAATGCTGGCAGATATTTGTTCTTAGGGTTTACTGCTGTTATAGAATAACATGGGTGATATATTATGATATTTTTCCAGTCAAGCCAACCTTTTACTGCATTTTATCTTTTCCATTACTTATTTTTTTAAAGTGCTTTTAAAGCTCTCATTACTTCGCTTATATTTGTGATTGCTTTTCTTTGTAATGTCTGTCCATAATTTTTTTTCTTTAATTGCACATTTCCTCCTGTTTTAACAGCTGATTGAATTCATTTCTTTTTTTCATAATTTTTGCTTTAATCGTACCTCCCCCACCCATTTCCAATTTGCAGTCCTCTGAGAGGCAAATAAGTAGGAAGGAGTTACAGAGAATAAACATGAATCGAGGGAATTTAAAAACTGATTGGTTCTAGTGTGCTGTTAGTGGGAGTTTATTCCTCTCCCTCCAACAGGAAGTGATTTGCAGTGTTCAGCAAGCCTTTTGTTGAGAAGGTTTTCTCAGATCAGTGAGTCATGCTTCAGCTCTGAGCCGGCAGGCAGGCAGCAGCCAGCAAAGAGTATTTGCTTTTTCCTTGCAGTGTCCGTGATCATCAGCAGCATACATCTCTTTTCTGTTCCTTTAGTTCTGAGATTTGTTTCTTTTTTTGCGACGGAAGCAGCTTTAAGAAGAAAAAGCAGCAGCATCACAGCTGGAAAAGCTGCAGCTCAAATCTGACAGGGTTTTTTTTTGTTTTTTTTTACCCTTGACTTTTTGTGCTATAGTGTTGTCTTTCTACAGCTTGTGGTCTCTAGCCGATTGGATTCCTGTTCTGGATTTTATTGAGAAACGATTGGACTTTGGCAAAGGCATCAGCTGCACCAGCTCTACACACTGAACGGCCACTGTAACCTCAACAGAGAGAGAGGAAAAAATACAGTCAGGTGGCCTGACATTGCTGAGAGGCGTTTGCTGCTTGTGTTGCTGCTGCTATGTTACAGGAGAGAGTGATCAACACGGTTCAGCCACGTCTGCCTGCACACTTGTGAAGGAGTCGGGCTGTGTGGGATTTGGTTGGTTGGTGGAGAGAAGAGGAGCGAGCTAGAGAGAGAAGGGTATGCTTCACCGTACCAAGTACAACCGCTTCAGGAATGAGTCAGTAACATCCGTCGATGAGCTTCTCCACGGCCTGTCCATGAACCCCAAGGTCTCGGCCCCCTCCCAGTCTGCAGCCGAGACATCTTACACACCCCCTACTGAGGTTCAGCCCTCCTCCACTGCTGCTGCTCCTTCTAGCACCACACCCAGCCACGGCTCAGAGCACCTGGAGGATGGAGGCACCACCCTTTGCACCATCATCAACAAGGTCTCCAGTCTGAAATTCAGCAATTCTGGCAGCCTGCTCGGGATTAAGGGTCTTCCCTCGGCTGTCAAGGACCTGGCTGTGTCCAAGCTGCAGGGGGGTGGGGGTGCGAGCTCCAGCCCCAGCAGCGTGGCAGCAGCAACAGCCATCTCTGGTGTGGGAGGGTCTCAGTGCAGCTCCCATTCGACCCCCTGCACTCAGCCGGAGACAGCTGTCAGCATGAGCAAGAAGAGCAGACTGGATGATTTACAACCTAGAGATGATTGTAATCCAGGTGGGGGTGTTGGACTGGTAAGCAAGCCCTCCAGAGGATGGCTGCACTCAAATGAGAAGATATCTGGCCCAGGAGTCACATATGTTGTGAAGGTTGGTAGGCTTTCCCTTCTATTCTCTCTCCTTTTTCTCACTGAGAAGAGATTAGCTACCTCTGATGGGGACTAAAGAGTGAGAAAGCAGTTGTGCAACATGCCCTTGACAGGGTTTGTGTTCGCTGGCTACAGCTGAAGGTTGACAGCCAGAAAACAGACATTGAATAATTCAGGAAATGCAGAAGGTCAACAACAGTGGTGGAAAAATAGAGGCAAAGCCTATAATGGTAACATAAAAGCAAGGGTTACAGCTGCCTCTAAATTCATTGGTTTATTTAGTATTCTTCCATCTGATCTATGTGAAGCTAAAGCGTTATGCTTTTGTAACCATGGTGATGTGTTATTTCTGTACATCCTGCACCTCTCTGAGCTACACGGCTGTGTTAGCTCCCTGAAAACGGCTGAGACCCGCATCGAGGGTTCGTCTCATTGCAGCTGTTATCTCTCCCTAATGTTCTTCAGCCATCATACATCATTTAAGTTGTTGCACAAGTAGAAGAGTTGCGAATGTCATCATGCCAGCAATGAGTCACTAGCACACAGTGATGATGCCTAGACCCAGCTCTTGAAGGGGAGAGAGAAATAAGGGGTGAGAGAGAAACCATTTTCACTAAAACTATTAGGTCTTCATCGTTTTATAGTTTGATCGAATAAAATGATTTTCTGATTCATGCAGCACATTTAACAAAGGACTTATTTATCTTTTAGGAAGGGATGAACCCACCTGCTGAAACGTATTATGTACCAAATCAAGTTACTCAAGATTACTGCCATCATATGACACCTACTACAACTTTTGTGAATAAAGCCTACAGTCTGTGACCAGCATGGCTTTCCATTAACTGCATCAAAGCGGACAGCACTTATTTTTGTCCAATTGATGTTGGTGTGACGGGGATCGGAGTGGGGGGGGAGAGGGTTGACTCCCCCACCCCCAGCTCTTCCTGTCAGCTTGTGTCCTGCAGGGATTGAGTTCAGCGTGGTGTTTCTGCTCACAGCACTTTTAATTAGCGTCATGTGGTCAGTCCTCGTCCATCATGCACCATTACACTAGAGAGGACATCGACTCAATGTGACATTGTTTACACTCACATCTGTACTCTTCCTTTGTAGCTATTCAGTAAAAACAACAACAACAAAAAAACTTCAAGTTCAATCCAAATTATTAGTCAGTATATTTCTAAGGATAAGGCAAGGCAAATGTATTTGTATAGCACAATTCAGTACAGAGACAATGCAAAGTGCTTTACATGATTAAAATATAGGAAAATAAAACAGAATCAAAGCAAGTAGAAAAAAATAATAATAAAAAAATGCAGAAACAAGAAAGAACAATAAAATTATAAGTCTGCATTTCTAAGGATAAGGCTAGGCAAGGCAAATTTATTTGTATAGCACAATTCAGTACAAAGACAATACAAAATGCTTTACATGATTAAAATATAGGAAAATAAAACAGAATCAAAGCAGGTAGAAAAAAATTATAATTAAAAAAAATGCAGAAACAAGAAAGAACGTTAAAAGCAGTTGGACTAAAGAAAATAAAAAAGTTGAACTATATATGAAAATGTTTCAGATAAGATGGCAGTTAATTTTACCTCTTGGAATCGCTTTTGAAAAACCTGTTGAGGAATTTATGTAGCCTGTAGTAAGACTCCATACAGACAGAAAGTACTAGATCTATTTATAATGTCTGTAACCACCCAACCTTTCAGGGTCATGGTAGTTGAACAAGAGGCGGGGTGCACTCTTGACGGCTGCAAAGTACCTTATGTGTAATTTTGGTGATGGATGGATTGATTCATGTGAGTAACGTCACCATTGCCACTAATATTAGCATCCTTGCTGAGCTACATCCACCCTTTGTCATTAGGAGAGCAGTGAGCCTCCTCTTAAAATGTTGGTCCAGACAGAGAGAAGAGACTTTGATCATGCTTTAGTTTGCAATCATAGATCATCCAGAATTATTGCTTCTTCATGAGACATTCCTCTCTTTAGGTTGGCCGACTAGATTTGTTTCGGGTTTTTGAATTGGAGAGAGAGATAACCCCTTTAGAAGGTCTGTTATTGTCTATCCTGTAGATCTGCCATATGTTTTCCACTATTTTTACAATAAATACAGAAAATCCAGACTGGAAGTTGGTTAATTTGACCAATGTTTGATCTTTTAGGTTGAACTTATTTATTTAAAACCTTAAGGCAGACTAATTCTAAGTCTTTTTAGATCAGCCTAATTCATTACCTTTCGTTTACCCTATCCCTAACAACTAACAAGAACTTTGGTGGATGAGAAACCTAAACTAGCGTTAAATAGATTTAACCCATACCCATTTTGATTTCGACTTCTAGGTTGGAATTTCTGGTATTTAAGCTAAAAATGGCATCCACGGCAGTTCTTGTAAGTTTTGTATGATTACCCATTGGAAAGAACCGAAGATGGGTTGTTTTTCTGGAGAGTCTATCAAATGATTATTTAAAATGTTCTGCTGGAGAGCCCACTAGGAATCTTTCTCAAAAGTGTCATCGCAGATCATCCACCCTACTTAATATTGCGATTTGTTTCAGTTGATCCATTCTTACTTTTATGCAAACCTGTTAGCGGAAAACTTTAACCTTTTATTCAATCAAATGAAATGGTTTAAGTTTAAGTACCATAAAGAAACTTTATGTTTCTGATGGCAGGACTGGAAATGCTGTCATTTGGCATTTTTAAAATAACCAGTTTGTTTAAGCGAGACTTGGAGACCAGAAGTCCTTATCCAATCCTGTTCGATTTTTCTAAACTTTTTATTATTGCTTTGTAGCTATGGGAAACATTTACCTCACTTGAAAAACATGTTCATTGGCCTTTCCCCATTTTGTGGTGGAGGGAAATGCTCAGTTATGAAACATTTACCAACCCAGGGCAGACCGCAGAGAAGAAACGACTCAATGCTACGCTCAGAATAAGTCTTCACATCCAAATTTAGAGTGGTTTGATATATTTTTGGCTTTGCTGTATTGAGCTCTTCATATTCATTTTTCTGAAAATAGATAACGCTGTCAGCCTGCAAATATCGTGTGATGATAAAAGAATTTGCCAAAAGTTGCTAAATGCATCTATGAGAAAGGAGAAGTCATTTGAAATGTATGATTTTAATATTTTAGAGTCATGGAAAGGTAGAGGTGCTTGGATGCCAAATAAAGAGATGCTACGGCTAAATCACAGGAAGCTGTGAGCACCAAACGTTCCTGCAGTATTAATCAAGCTGGTGACGTTTATAATGGGAGTAGCTCTCTTTTACTGTGAATGAATTTATGCAAAAAACCACCTAATGATATTTATGAAGAAATGAAACATGATTGTTAAATTAGTTATCTTTAGATTTCGATCACTTGTTTGTCAGCTATTTTGTTACTTGTGAACTTTTTCTATTTTTCAGGTTAGAGTCTGGAAACTTTTGGAATATATTTCATAGTATTATCTAGCTGTGAAATGTTGTGAGAAAAATAAAGCATGTTTCCAGGTTTTGTTGCTTTTCGATGATCAGAATAATTGTCCTTTCTTCTTCCTGTCCCTTACCTTATATTTTTTCTTCTTTTTTTCCTCATGTTCTCCTTTTCTTTCCACCTTACTGTCCTCCCTTTCCTTCCTATTTGTCCTTCCTACCATATGTCCTCCCTGTCCTCTTTCTCTCTTTTTCTTATTTAAAGCTTTCCAACTGTGAAATCTGTCATAAACTGATCCTAAACTTTCGTATTTTAGTATTAAAATGAAAGTGAAGCAGCCAGAATGCTGGAAAAAATTGCTCTATAAAAGTTGGGAATTTTAAATACATGTGTAGGAGCCCTTTAAGAGCTAAAAAATATGGTTTTAACTAGTTTATGAAAATGCAACTCAACCTACTGGGACGTCAGGAAGGAAAACAACCATTATTAACATTATAATCAACATTATAATCTAAACTTCCTCCATACAGGTGTATAATACTGATAAATCCAATAATATGCCACATGTCAAATACAATAATTAACTCGTATCAATTAGGAATCTACAACAGACTGCGGTTACTTAAATCTTGTTGGCTTGGCTTTAGAGTACTAAAAATGTAAATGTATTTTTTTCAACAAAGTAGATGGTACTTTTGTTTGTCACACAATTCTCTCTCTTATTTTCTTTTTTTTTGCAGTATCTGGGCTGCATAGAAGTCCTGCGGTCGATGAGATCCCTGGATTTCACTACAAGGTCACAAATAACAAGGTATTTTCAAATATGATGTGGCTTTCTTGCTTCAAAGTATTAGATTTTTTGATTTGTCTTTGTTTTATTATTGCATGTTTTTGTTTAAACAACAAAGGTTTCTATAAGGATGAGGACTGAAATAAGAAATACGATACAAGAATTTAAAATGAACAAAAATCAGTAGAGTCTATATTGATGCTAAACACACATAGTCGTTTCATCTAACCTTTCCTGTCGAAGATACAGTAAATGTGAGCGTATTTGTGGTTTCTAGTAATAGGAATATGGCTCTCTGTCCAAGGTGCAAAGAGCATTTAACAGTTTAAAGAAATAAAAAGAAAAGAAACCCCCCCTTTCCCCCCCTAAATACTGTATGCTTTTATTTTTTTCTTATTTGTATGTTGAGTTGATTAGGGCTATTCAAAAACACACAAAAGGGAAGAAAAGAAAGTTTTTGTTAAAATCTAATCTTATCATCTATCTATCTATCTATCTATCTATCTATCTATCTATCTATCTATCTATCTATCTATCTATCTATCTATCTATCTATCTATC